AACTCTGTTTTTCCATAAGAGTGGAAGATTTCAAAAATCATCCCTATTCCCAAGGTAATCTGTAGTAGACGATATTAAAGATCTGAGACAAATCAGTATTTTACCAATACTCTCCAAATTATTGGAAATGATCATAAGGCAGCAAATCTTGGAATTTGTTATGATCAACAAAATTATACCACCAATCCAATCTGGATTTCGAGCCCAACACCACACGACAGCTGCACTGGCATGTATAGTTGATGACTTCTACAAATCATTTGACAAAGGTAATGTTATGTGTTTAATTCTCTTGGACTTCAGTAAAGCCTTTGATACTCTACACCATAATATACTAAGTGACATATAAATCCGAACACCCAGTTTAAATGGTTTTATTTTAATAAAATTTTGTATAAGTACTTAATGAAGCATAGTAAGTAAATGATAAAAATTTCAAAATGATTGCACTGCTTTAAAGCCCTTTGACCTTCAATAATGTGTGGATTCGCCCTGATATGCTACGCATTCTCCAACGCGCCAGGCATGCTTCTGATCAGGTGGTCAATGTCCTCCTGTGGTATCTCATTCCAGGCAACCACCAACTCCTCTCGAAGTGCTTCTAGAGTCTGAGGAGGACGTTGCAAATTGAGCAATCTCCTACCCGTCATATCCCACACGTGCTCAATTGGGGATAAGTCGGGAGATCTTGGTAGCCATGGTAACAATGTGACATCTTTATGTTGAAAGAAGTCTATTGTGACTCTTGCAACATGTAGTCGGGCATTATCTTGTTGGAAAGTTGGATCTGCCAGGGTGTCAAGATAGGGTAAAATATGGGGTTCTAGAGCTTCGTGGATATAACGCTACGCGTTCGTGTTACCTCTGATGAAGATTAAAGGTGACCTGGAACCATAAGCTATAGCACCCCAAACCATAACTCCAACAGTGTGATGAACATGTCTTTCAACAAAAAAACTGTGGATTCCTCCTATCACCACGTCGCCTTCTAACCCTGGCACGACCATCGTGAATGCCTAAACAAAATCGAGACTCGTCACTAAAGACAATACTGTTCCATTCCTGATCCCAGAGTGACCGTTGTCTGCACCACTCAAGGCGATTACGTCGGTGTTCTCGAGTTAAAGGGAGGACCCAGTGTGGCCGGTATGAAAACAAGCCAAGACTTCTCATTCGTCGGTAAACACTTCGCATGCCAATAGGTCTTCCGTGTTCTGCAAACCATTCATTTGCAATGGACCTGGTAGTGGAGAAACGGTCCCTTAAGGCCAATAATCTTTGGCGGCGATCTTCACGGTCTGTTGTTCTACGGCGGCGTCCAGTCCCCCTTGCTCTTTGCGTACGGCCTTCTCGAAGCCATGCCTGACAACACCTAACCACAGTGTCTACACTTCTTTGCACTCTAACTGCAATTGCCCGAAAAGAAAGTCCAGCTACCCGAAGTCCCACTATACGGCCCCTATCAAACTCACTAAGTTGACGAAATGGTACAGGTCTCCGTACTCTAGGCATCGTAACCGATCGTAAAGGATGTCAAGAACCAAAATCCGCCAACGTTGATTCTTTACTGCGGCTGAAATATTCATTTTTAGAGCGTTAGTGAATTAAAAAAAATCCGTATAAAAACCGGAATGTCCAACTGATAAGGCTGAACATTTTTTCACTTATTATTTATCGTAAGATAAATACATTCACCAACTTTTATTAAAATAAAACCATTTAAACTGGGTGTTCGGATGTATATGTCACTTAGTATATATTGTGCATGAAGCTCAAGTACTTTGAATTTGCAGATAATGCGGTAGATTTAATAAGGGACTACTTAACTAGTAGGTACTAATACGTATCGGTAAACTCTTCATCTTCTGACAAAATAATGCTTACAATGGGTGTACCACAAGGGTCCATATTAGTCACTTTACTATTTTCTTTATATATTTCAGACTTTCATAACTACGTAAAAACTTGTAAAATACATCATTATGCGGATGATACACTATTGTACTTCAGTTTTCAGATTGATCACATTTTGAACTCCTACTCTTTGATTAACGACAATATTTATATGTTATAATATATATCAATTGCACATAATCTAAGCCTTAATGCCAACAAATCAAAGGCAATACTGTTTGCCTCTAAACAAAAACGTTCTTTTAATCTGAAAATTAATAACATACCATTACCTGTAGTGGGTGAGAGCAAAAATTTGGGATTGTGGTTTATATCAGATCTGCGATTTAGTGTCCATGTCAATAAAATTTCCTCCTCAGCCTATAATATGCTTAAGCAATTATATCCACAGCGTCGTGTTTTAAATAGTAGCTTGAAAATGAAGTTATGTGATGCCCTTATAATTTCTCGCCTATCTTACTGTGACAGCATATATGACCCGGCTCTATTAAACAATTATTGTTTAAAATTACAGCGAGTACAAAATTCGTGTCTGTGATTCTCTTTTGGTATAAGAAAGTTTGATCACATAAGCCATATATTCAAACAACTCAACATTCTAAGTTTAGATAGATCGAGAAAATTGCATTTCCTATCACTAATCCACCAATTTCTCGTGAACAAAAAGCGGGAATACCTTTTAGATAGAATTTCAAAGTTTGAAAATATCAATTCATATACAGGGTGATGGGAAAATAGATGCGGAGCCGGTGGGGGGAGATAGTACAAGCCAATCTGAGTTGCTTTTATTATAGGAACTACTGTCCGAAAATTAGCCGTTTTCGAATTATACAATTGTTTAAGATTTTATAAAATTAACGTCCTTTGTACGTTAACCAAGTCATAAAACTTGAAAATTGGGTGTTTCATTTGATTTTTTTTTTGGTTTTACAATAAAAACATTCCAAAAATATGAGAATTGATACTCAAATTACATTATTGACGTTATCTCATGCAGTAAGCTTCAATAGTTCCATTTTTGTTAAAAAAATCTTCGTTCATCTCAAACGCTTCAGTTTACTAGAAAAAGTCGCATACAAATTTCTCCTACAAAACAATTAGAAAACATCTACGTTTCATTACCTTTCAAATGTGGCATAAAAATCACAAATCGATCAAGAATTTCAAAAAATATGACTATTATAAGAGGACTGCGTGCTGGCCATGGGATTGGTCCGCCTCTACCGATCCATCGATTCGGAAACTGTTTCAGAGGCGGACCAATCCCATGGCCAGTACGCAGTCCCGATCTCACACCTATGGACTTTATTGTGTGCGGACGCATGAAAACTTTAGTATACTCTGATCAAAATCCTGTACCCACAATAGAAGACCTCAGAAACAGGATAATACATACAGCTCAAGAAATTCAAGCCTCTCTTAGGAATTCGGCGGTAATAAAATCAGCTGACATAAGAAGAGCACGTGTGTGCATTAGAAATAGAGGGCGCCATATTGAAAATGTATTATAAAAATAAAGAAATGTAGTTTCAAACAAATGATCCTGTATCAAGGTATAATTTTATAAGTGTACTATTTTTATTGCTTTATCCTTCCTCCTCTTATAATAGTCATATTTTTGGCAATTCTTAATCGATTTGTGATTTTTATACCACATTTGAAAGGCAATAAAACGTATATGTTTTCTAATTATTTTGTACGAAAAATCTGTATGCGACTTTTTCTAGTAAACTGAAGCGTTTGAGATGAAGGAAGATTTTTTAACAAAAATCGAACTATTTTGAAGCTTACTGCATGAGATAACGTCAATAATGTACATTTGGGTATCAATTCTCGTATTTTTGGAATATCCTTATTGTAAAACAAAAAAAAATCAAATGAAACACCCAATTTCAGGTTTTATGACTTGGTTAACGTATAAAGGACGTTAATTTTATAAAATCTTAAAAATTAGTATAATAATTCAAAAACGGTTAATTTTCGGACAGTAGTTCCTATAGTAAAATCGACTCAGATTGGCTTGTACTATCTCCCCCCACCGGCTCCAGATCTAGTTTCCCGTCACCCTGTATACTAGAAATAGGCGAATGATCGTTATACCACCTCACTCAACATCAACCTTTACACGTGGCTTTTCATATAACGCAGCCAAACTATACAATTGTCTCCCAAATGGTTTTTATGACTTCTCTTTATTGAACTTTAAGAAAAAGCTGAAGAATTTGTATCTGTCAGAAGTGTGAAGGATCCTATATGCAGATTCTGTTTACGCCCACTACATTTCTACTTGTCTCTCTTTCATTCTTATTCTACTAATTGTTGATACAAAATACTCTTTTGTTACCTTCAAAAATATATTATGATTTGCTGATAGGATGTTGATAGCTGCACCAGCAACAAACGAGTTTTAATTCTACGCTTCATTGAGAAAGTTATCGTAGTTAAATGGATGATCTGAAACTCACTACATTTTTTTTATTGTTAGTTCCTTTCTCTTAGGCACTAGGTACACCTTACAGACTGGTTATTATGACTATCATTGATACTTATTTTTATCTTTATTATTGGGTTTTCCCTTAGATATGTTCATGACATAGATACAGTTTTTTATTCAAGGTTGAGTTGAAAAATACCCCTAGGGTAACACTCCACCTTTTCAATTTTGCACTTTTTCAGTTTTCAAGATATTATTCTTTTGTTTTATTTTGTGTATGCAAACTTGAATAAAGGCACATTATTATTATAAATTAGTGTTGCACGGCCGGAATATCATCTGTTTGCTTTCCTTCTCGACAACCATAGCCGTACGGGTGCAACCAACGTTGCTTCATGCTTTGTAGCAACCATCAGTACGGTATAGGTCTAGTCGTTTGGAAGAGCTCGTGCTAATGTTGACAGCTGACAACAGTGTAGTATTTCACAAATTTGACTTATTGCATGAAAGCGTGCTTTTACAGTGTTTTCATGGCTTTTTTTTCCTCTTCCTCGAAAATTGACCATAGCAGTACGGAAAAGGAGAAGGATATGAAAGAAAATCAGCACGAGACATGAAATCAAATATGTTTTATTATTCTTTTCCTTTACAGTTTCTGAAAAAAAAACCTCAACTGTACGCGATGAAGCGGTGCATTGTCGATGCGGAGATGCCATGAGATTGGAAGTGACCTAGGTTGTCAAATTTTTAGTGCTGTAGTGACCTTCTTTTTTGTTTAACAAGCACAATGATTGCTACTGAATCGACTTTCAAGAAAAAAAGGCACGATGATTCTTTCCCCAACTTCGTGGTACATCAAAAAAATATATCGAAAACTCACCACCTATACTATTCATTTATCTGTCTAGACGGTCTGTAGGACCTTTGCCCATTACTCACTGTCTAATGTACATTAGTCGAATCTGTCAGTCCTGCTGAAGTGTATCATTTTAGGAGGAAACACCTAGGCTTTTTGACTTGGTACACGGATTAATTTGGAGGTGAACTAAAAACAAATTTTGATTCAGGTCTTGTTAGAGTGTAATTCTGAGTTTATTAAAAGTTCGCGGTAATTTTTGATCACAGCGCGAACCGTGGCCTTGGATGTTTACGAACTTGTTCCACTATGTAGTCCACTGAGTCATGCAACAGAGGGTTGCTATCCGATTCCGCTTGACTATAACGTCGCTGCGCCTGAAGCTTGACATAATCCCTCAAGTAAGAAATGTCAAGGTCTCTTGTAGTAATCTCATTTGATACATACCATGAAGCAATTTGTTCGTAATATCCTGCTTTGCAGTACTTGAAGACTTTGCAAGTTTCTTGGCAAGAAAATACCAAGCTACACATTTATAAGTAATGGCGGGTATAAAAATCATCTTATATAACTTTATCAAACTCAATTTGAAGGATCTATATATAACAAAGGATATAGTTACCAAAACGCAATTTGGAATGCTGCTGTATGTTTTGCCAGGTCATACCTTTATCAAAGGTGACACCAAGATACTTGGCTGGGGGGCCGCGACGTTTCTTGCTACAATAAACAGCCTGCGTCTTCAAATGATTAATTTTAATAAGACACCGGTCCGACATTCTAGTACTTCCTCCTCCCCCCACCCTGCAACCCTACGTGAACCAGATCACCAGTACACGACTGGGTGACAAGTGTGGTGTCGCCAGCGTAGAGGTAGACTCACAGTTGCTGGGGCAAGGGACTCCGTGAATAAATAACGAGTATAGGCTGGTCCTAGGAACACCGGCCCGTACTGGCTGTGTTGATGACAAAATATTGATAATTTTAATCCGAAACTTCATTCCCTCAAGAAAGGAATTCAGTAGTTTTAGAAGCCAAAAAGGAAAATCCTTTTGGTTTAGTTTATAGAGATTTCACCACCTATGCATTCTTTCTGCACCAAGCTGCCCCTGCCGTCTTCTGTTCGTCAATTGATGTGTGAAGTAGCAAAATAGTCCTACCATTTAAATGATCCGAAATAAAACACTAATGGTCTATATGCAACCATCAGAATTAGGGCGCCTAGAACATCGGAAACTGACCTCGCCGATACTCCAAAATGTCCAGAATAGTTCGTGGAGAGGGCAACACACTTGTATAAAGGCAGGGATCGGATAAAGTCAGCGAATAGTAAACGACATGAACGCAAAACCGCGACCCAGAAATACATTTTTTTGTTGAGTGGTTACGTGTTTTTGCTACAGTATCTCCCTGAAAAAGCAGGTATCATAATATTGATGAGGCAAATTGGAGTCCTACCTGCTGAATTTGAACAACACCGCCCGCAGGGAGTTGCTGATGAGCACCACCTCCTGGAGGAGCTGCAGCCACACCAGCTTGCTGCTGCTGTTGAGCTGTGTTTCGCAAAAGGAACTGTTGGAAGTGAGCCTGTTGAAGGATCACAGGTAGCTCATAGTGATGGAAGAAGTATACCATGGAGTGCTGGAACAAAAATATTGGATATAGAATGTTAGAATTGGAGTGCAGTTTGCTTCACACATGATATCAAGGATGTCTATACCTATACACCTATGTAATGATGAATACGTGTCTAACGTCTGATTAATTCGCTAGCGATCGAATATATTGGTCAAATCCGATATAAGCTTGCGTTTGAGAGATTTTGGTCTAACCTCGGGATGACTCATATACCATGTGAAGTCCCTTCTTTGAGTAGCCAGCAAAAAAAATGCCCCAAAAACTTACGCTACTTTCTCTTAATATTTCTGTTGCTCACACTCATACTGCGGTTTACTTTCTGGTCAAGTGCGAGTTCTTCAGAATATGTGCTTCTAGTTATGAGCCAAATAAGGCACGGTGAATATGTGTAAGGTTGCTCAATCAAAGAATGACAAACCTTCGTATCCGACTTTAAATAGGCAAGCCGATCATACCGTGATTTTTCTGAAAAAACCCAGTTCAACTCCAAATCGTCGGTGCCCCCGCAATACAATTAAGGTTTGATCCGACGTCGACCTTAACGTAACGTAAAACATGCATCTCCTTTATTTCTGTCTCTGCCTTTTTTATCACTGTTACGTAGCTAATATACTGCGGAAAAAAAGTAGAAGATATTAACATCATGCTCAAGTGTAAGCCACGAACTGCAAACAAAACTATTATAAATTAAGGTATGCATAATTAAGTACCTTGAAGAAACACACAACGCTTATGACATTCTACCATTTTTCCTATAAAAGTAGTTATAGCAATGCCCCAAAGAACTACTTGAAGAGTGACAACGTCATGTCATTTTGATAAGTCAATGTCGATCACACAGAGACTAGAGGGCTCAATCCTTAACTAGAGCTTGACCCACGGTCTCTGAAACTAGGGGCGCAGTCAGAAAATCGCATTTAGTGCTACAGCTGGGCGTTTACACCACCGCGGCACGGCAAGTTTTCTTATCTGCACGATATTCTCAAACGTCTTTTGATTTCTTATACAATGTCTTCTGACAAAGAACTATTATTATTATTATAGGCTTTAGCAGAAGATAAAAGGCGAGAAAGGTAACTATTTCGATGATAATAATTGATAATTGTGTTTAAAGAACACGAATAAATGGATACATGATATCAATGAACAAAGAAGGATATATATAGAAAATATCATACTTTAATGCCCGAATTACGTAGACATCCCCAACGTTTTTACGTATACTTTCGAATGACTCCAGATTGTTATGACGAAACCTTAAATTTAATGTGATCCTACACTTTATCCTTTTTCCTGCAATTCTTATAGTCTTCGTGACTTAAATCGAACAATATTGGCTACTTCCTAACTTGTTCAATTAATTCCTCCCTTGTAGACACCGTGAAAAACGTGGCGATATGCGATACGAAGCCCATCAGCAGCGTTTCTGAAATAACAAAGTTCACTCAAAGAAATAACATTTTTTCTGGGTGTTCTATTTTACAGCTTAAGTCATTTTTTAGGCTCGAAGATAAACCTACAAAAACCACCATTTTTTACAAAAAAATTCCAAGCTCTGCTGAGGGGGTTTCAACATTGCCTTAGCTGCGCCTCTGACTCACACGTGGAAAATGACATACAGGGTGCCGCATAACGTTACTATCTAGCGTTTGGAATTTGAGGTAGCAGTTAAGCTGTTGTTGAAAACTGAAATTTCATTAATGATGAACAAAAATATAGTTTTAAGTTTGCTTAAAAGTAAGTAAAGCGCAGTTTCACCTTAGAGGTCATGCGAATAAGCAAAATTGACGCATTTACATATCGAGGAAAAGCAAATGTACTCGCAACGAGTCACTTTTTTTCGAAATTGAGCAAGTAGATGTCAATGGCAAACGTTGGATTATGGTTTCTAAAAGTTTAACAGACTGGCATGGACGTCATCTGGCAACGGGACGGCACAATTTATCATACAACCAACGTAGCAATCGAGCTTTTCGTCACTATATTTGATAAGCCGAAATTCTTATGACAAAGGTCTTTCATGGAGTTGCGACCCGTTGGGTGATTTTCTCCGGGGAACCGTTAAAGGTAAGTGTTATGCTAACCATCCAGAGTCTGATTATACACTGAAATACGAAATCAAAGTTAACACTTAATGAGTTCATGCCGAAGCAATCAAAAATGTAATTGAAAATCAAACTAATCGCAAAAGGTACTGACGAGGCAGTCATGATACTTCTTATGCGGGAACCGCACGCTTGCCATTTGCCGCAAACTCCAAACCCCTACAAAGGCTTGCCTTTTTTTGAAGAAGCAAACGTGGCCGTCCACACGTTTGCGGGTGTGTCAGTGAAAAGGCAACAGGCAAACATGACGGACGTCGAACTTGTGTCTGCCGTAGCATTTGGCTTAAGCTATTTTTATTATAAAACAAAAAAAAAACAGTCAGATAAAACGAAAAGTAGGACCAAGAAGGTGGTGGATGTTAAATATTCATATGAATCGTACCAGGTAAATGGTATTTGTTTTAATGAAATTGATATTTAGTTCCTAAAATAGTACCTATCACATCCAAAATTCAAGGGGCTGACATTATGAGTAGTAACATTTGTGTTTTTAATTTAATAGGCATTAACTAAATAGAGATTTACTAAATGATGCGCTAAGGCGACTCCATGCGCCAGCTTTTTTTTGTTATCTTTGTGATCCGGATGGTCTGTATGCCAAATGCACGTTTCTCCTTGGTACCGCTCCAGGAAGTTCAAAATCTCTTCGTTCAACCAGTCACTCATTTTGTTGTTATCCAACTGGACACAGATTATTGTTGCAAAACTTACACCCATTCGCCACCAGTGCATAAGCGAGACTGAAGCGCACAAACGTATGGTTGTGTCACAAACGCTTGTGGCAAACTCCTTTAGATTTGCGACCAAAAAACCGACATCCGATCGGATCGGCTACAAGCGCTTGCAAACCCACGCAAACCAAGCCAAACGCTCTATCTGCACGTTTGCGTTTGTGACGATTTGCGGCGATTTGGCAAGCGTGCGGTTCCGGTATTAAATATCAAGTTTCACCATTTCAAAATTTAAAAAAATGTTGATGTTGATTTTGATTGAAAAGAGTTTTATGTTCGTTAAAAGAGTGTGGCAGCTCAGTTATTATTTTTAATAACAATGAACGAATCGCCAGCACGAACGCCACTGATGTAAGCGATTTAGAAAACAATTTTGTAAATGCTAATGTAAACTTACATATTTTCTTGCGCCAAGCTCATCCCTAATCTCATCCCTCAATATTTGGATTTTATAAAAATATAAAATGAACTATCAAAGATGGACACTCTCAGTCGTATTATGGAAAACGGGGAATTTCCAGACCCATACTCATATAACTTTTTTCACTACTTTTACCTGATGAATCTTTACATGGATGTTCTTGACAACGCTCTGTAGCTCCCTGTATATGTGGATTTAACTTCCAGAATTCTTCACTTGCCTTACTTCAGCTCTAGAAGTGGTAGCGTATCATTACCTGTTGTATGCAGATACCGACAGTATCATTCATTTCAGCTGAACAAGATTCGAAATGAAACTTGGGACGAAGTGACCACATTTATTGGAATGGTGACTAATCGATCGGAGGCGTCGGTCGAGGCGATTATTTGGAATGATTTTGTGTATCCGATAGTATAGTTTTTCAATTTGACGACGATCAATACTTGGTGGCGTTTAGCATACCTACATTGAGATTGTTAACTGGTTAAAACGCGTTTTACATCATGAAAAAACTACTTTTTTATAACAAAGCAGAAGCCTACAACATACCAGGGTACCGCGGTTGCTATAAGGAGCTCAAAGAAACTTATGTTATTTCGATTTTTGAACTGCGTAAGGAGTGTTAGAATGTTAGAATCATGGAGGTGAGCTCTGAGAAACAGCAAAGCCCGTTGACATAGCGTTGGAAGACAGCCACCTCGCTGATGGCGCGTTGGTGCGTAAAGCGTCCCAAAACTGTCCGTTAGAGAAAAGTCATCTCATCTGAACAGCATCGAGCATGTATTATGTAGTCCGGGCCGCTGCTTCCCGAACATGTGAGCCGTACTCGAGGCTAAGTCTTATCTGGGAGTGAGAAGGTTATATGGAGAAAAATACTTCTTAGCCCTAAACAAATACTCTAGCTTTTTCCCAGTAGCTGCCACTATTGACGAGATAGATGTGTTCGTACGAGAAACACTGTCCGAATCCAAAAGGGCAATTTTTTAAATTTGTTGTAGAAAAATTAATCAGTCAATTATTAACAGAATTTTGGACCGGGCAATATGCAGATTCAGATTCTTTAAAAGGGATCTAGTCGAGTCAGAATATTTTTTTATTCTCTATCAACTTCGAATTTGTTGTTTATGCTCTAGTTTTGTTGATCAAACTCATTTAAAACAAATTCAACCCACAAATAAAGAAAAAAGAAAAACGGCAAAAAAGTAACGTAAATACATCAGAATTTCAAACAAATACAACGACAAATGTACAGATACAATGAAAAAGTCGAGTACTCATTCTAGCAGCAAACATGTTCTTTCTCCGATCTGGTACAATTAACTGATCAGAACCGTATAGGAACATAATTCCAAAAAACAGAAAAAAGTTTGTTTGGCCCGAGGGATATCAGAAGGATGAAAGGAATCGAGCTGGTAGTCTAGGTGAAAGAGGCAACTGTTATATGTCTCTTCACGGTTTTTGACGGGTCACAATAATTCAATAAAACTACATCAATTAGTACATATCCATCTCCCTCACACATGCATATGTGCGAACAACCTTTTTTAATTTTGTCTTACTGCCTTAAAGATTTTCTCATCGACGAATGAGTTTTCCAGATTTATGCCTCTCACTGTCACTATGATAAGGTGCTTGTTATGTGTACTGTTGACTGTTGACAGTCTGTAATAAATTTTTTGGATTCCAAAAAGTGGATAAAAACAATGGCCTTCTGTTACAAGATTCATGTGTGCAGAAGTAAATAGTAACTGCGTTAAAGATCAGCTTGGACATCCTCTAGAAAAGTTTGGCTCCGCAAGTGGTACAGCTGAAACGATTCGTGTTCCTATGAGATTGTGACGTCAAAATGTGAAAAGAACTGCGCTTCATCCAGCGCAAAATGAAAACAGCAGTTTTTAAACGTTTTACGTCAGTCTGGCCACACCTAATGGCCCCTTTCTTAATAAGTGCCGAGCCGTCTATGAGAGGACCGCCACACCAAGGGCAGTTCCTGGAAAGATGACGAGTCAGCCGCTATCAAAGGACGGTTCGCTGATAGACCGCTGCATTTTTGTTGTAATCTAGCAATCAAATGCATTCCATGCAGTGTTCTCTGTTGGAACTACCTTTTCCTTTGATTATTTCATGAAAAACTGCACATCCTCCAACAGTCGCCACAATACCTTTTTCAGTTTCAGTGGGCACCATACCCTTTTTGAGATATTTTATTTCGGATCTCTGCTCAACAGGATCAATTTAAACAAAAATGTTTGTCACACATAAACTAAAAAAAGCAAGAAAAATAGAACAGCACAAAGCGCCATCCATCTATTACCAGAACGGAGCAGTGCATTTGACATCCGTGTCACCACTGTGGCCACTAAAAGCCGTCAGTTCTGGCGGTATATTAGATGCGATTTACTCGCCATTAATCAAACTAGTAATGTAGCTTTCATTTGTCTGACTACAGACAGCGAACCGTGGTTTTTGACGACTCATCAGCATGGTTTAGGCTTGGTCTCACATAGAATAATGAATGAAAGCTGAACAACTACCATAGGCTCTATCCAGAGTA